CTCTTGCGCCTTCAGCCTGAAGTCTCCAAAAGAATTTGTTGACTTACTGTGGGGCACACGGGCCACAGGGATAAGAGCCTCGTTGGACGTAGAATCACTGTTTACCAACGTACCTGTGGACGAGACAATCGGGATGATAGCCGACAGAGTGTATCGTGATCCGGCCTGTACTCCTCTTGACATACCAGAAAATATTCTAAGGAAACTACTCCAAGCTTGTACTAAAGAGGCACCCTTCTTGAGCCCGGATGGGCACATGTATAAGCAAGTAGATGGGGTCGCCATGAGTTCTCCCCTAGGTGTCCTGTTTGCAAACTTCTACATGGGTACCATCGAGCAAAAAGTCTTAGTCGACATGAACTTGAAACCGGCCATATACTGCAGGTATGTTGATGACATTTTTACACAGGTACCTGATGTCAGACATCAGCAGGAGCTGAAGGAGGCATTTGAGCAGAGTTCCGTGCTGCGTTTCACTTACGAGATGGAAAAGGATGGGAAGCTGCCCTTTCTAGATGTAACAGTCATGGAAAAGAGCGGAGGTTTCCACACTGCAGTCTACACTAAGGAAGCGAACATAGGAATGTGCCTAAATGCCAACAGCGACTGCCCAGACAGGTACAAGAGGAGTGTTGTTAACGCTTATGTCGACCGTGCTCTCAGCCACAGCTCAGAATGGAAGCAAGTCGACGAAAAACTCTGTAGGGTAAGGCAGGTCCTAGTCAACAACGGCTTCTCCAATGGTTTCGTCGAAGACATCATAAGAAGGAAAGTGAAACGCTATGCAACCTCTGAAGAGACAACTAACACAACACTTATACCCCCTATTAGACTATTTTACAGGAACTTCTTTTCCACAGCTCATAAAATGGAGGAAAGGGTCCTGAAAGATATTGTTAATAGAAACGTTATCCCTACAGACAAAAATCAGAGGATACAACTGACGATTTACTATAAAACCAGAAAAACGGCCAGCCTACTCATGAGAAACTCTCCAGACACAAAGCAGAACGCTTTAAAAGAGACCAACGTCGTCTATGCCTTCAAATGCCCTCTTGGGGACTGAAAGCTCCAAAAAAAACAGTATATAGGCAAGACAACAACATCTCTCTCTAGGCATTTAACGAAGCATAAGCAACAGGGCTCCATTAAGGAACATATAATCTCTTCCCACAACCAAACCATCGCCAGAGAAATCCTAGTAAACAACACAGAAATCATCGATAGATACAGCGATAACAGGCGGCTTGACGTCTGCGAGGCACTACACATCAAGAAGTCAACACCAGCAATCAACAGCCAATTAATGCACAACTATATTCTACCCACCTCAAGACTCCGCTCCAATATAGAAGCAACAAGAAATACGGACCAATAGGCTTTCTACAATCACTTCCATTCAATACCCCTTGTTTCGTGTTCTGTCTTGTGTTTAGGAATTTAATACCCTATTAATACCACCTCACCCCATCCACCTCACTGAAATGTAGATATAAACAAATCGAAGATGTGTAAGTTCTATTCAGTTGTGTATGTGTAAACTAAAGTCTTTGAAAATGTAATAAGTTTTACGAAACGTGCTCAAGTGTCGCGTCAGACTAGAAATAAAAATGAATTTTGGAGAATTGATTTTTGAATTACCACCAACAGTGAAAAGAAAGGTACGAAAGATCGAGAAAATTCGTGTTAGAATTATTAATCTTACTTTTTCGGTCATATTTAATATATATATATATATATATATATATATATATATATATATATATATATATATATATATATATATATGTGTGTGTGTATATCACGAAAATAAACACGTGATTAAGAATGTGACAATGTCAGACCACGAAGGAAAAATGAAACAGGAAATTTCCTTAAGTACTTTCGTATATTAAATACCTTCTGAAGATGTATTTTGACTTTCTGAAGATGTATTTAATATACGAAAGTACTTAAGGAAATTTCCTGTTTCATTTTTCCTTCGTGGTCTGACATTGTCATATATATATATATATATATATATATATATATATATATATATATATATATATATATATATATATATATATATATATATATATATATTATATATATATATATATTATTAAATATGACCGAAAAAGTAAGATTAATAATTCTAACACGAATTTTCTCGATCTTTCGTACATTTCTTTTCACTGTTGGTGGAATATATATATATATATTTTCACTGTTGGTGGTTATTTATATATATATATATATATATATATATATATATATATATATATATATATATATATATATATATATATATATATATATATATATATGCGAACAAGCCTGAATGGTCCCCAGGACAATATGCAACTGAAAACTCACACCCCAGAAGTGACTCGAACCCATACTCCCAGGAGCAACGCAACTGGTATGTACAAGACGCCTTAATCCACTTGACCATCACGACCGGACAAAATGAGGTAATAGCCTAAGCTATTTGAACCACCCCACCGCCGGCACTCGGATAGTAATCTTGGGCATAGCATTTTACCTAATCACCTCATTCTTTGGGGCACACGTGAGGAACACAAATGCGAACAAGCCTGAATGGTCCCCAGGACAATATGCAACTGAAAACTCACACCCCAGAAGTGACTCGAACCCATACTCCCAGGAGCAACGCAACTGGTATGTACAAGACGCCTTAATCCACTTGACCATCACGACCGGACAAAATGAGGTGATAGCCTAAGCTATTTGAACCACCCCACTGCCGGCACTCGGATAGTAATCTTGGGCATAGCATTTTACCAAATCACCTCATTCTTTGGGGCACACATGAGGAACACAAATGCGAACAAGCCTGAATGGTCCCCAGGACAATATGCAACTGAAAACTCACACCCCAGAAGTGACTCGAACCCATACTCCCAGGAGCAACGCAACTGGTATGTACAAGACGCCTTAATCCACTTAACCATCACGACCGGACAAAATGAGGTGATAGCCTAAACTATTTGAACCACCCCACCGCCGGCACTCGGATAGTAATCTTGGGCATAGCATTTTACCAAATCACCTCATTCTTTGGGGCACACGTGAGGAACACAAATGCGAACAAGCCTGAATGGTCCCCAGGACAATATGCAACTGAAAACTCACACCCCAGAAGTGACTCGAACCCATACTCCCAGGAGCAACGCAACTGGTATGTACAAGACGCCTTAATCCACTTGACCATCACGACCGGACAAAATGAGGTGATAGCCTAAGCTATTTGAACCACCCCACCGCCGGCACTCGGATAGTAATCTTGGGCATAGCATTTTACCAAATCACCTCATTCTTTGGGGCACACGTGAGGAACACAAATGCGAACAAGCCTGAATGGTTCCCAGGACAATATGCAACTGAATTGTCCGGTCGTGATGGTCAAGTGGATTAAGGCGTCTTGTACATACCAGTTGCGTTGCTCCTGGGAGTATGGGTTTGAGTCACTTCTGGGGTGTGAGTTTTTCAGTTGCATATTGTCCTGGGGACCATTCAGGCTTGTTCGCATTTGTGTTCCTCACGTGTTCCCCAAAGAATGAGGTGATTTGGTAAAATGCTATGCCCAAGATTACTATCCGAGTGCCGGCGGTGGGGTGGTTCAAATGGCTTAGGCTATCACCTCATTTTGTCCGGTCGTGATGGTCAAGTGGATTAAGGCGTCTTGTACATACCAGTTGCATTGCTCCTGGGAGTATGGGTTCGAGTCACTTCTGGGGTGTGAGTTTTCAGTTATATATATATATATATATATATATATATATATATATATATATATATATATATATATATATATATATATATATATATATATATGTCGTACCTAGTAGCCAGAACTCACTTCTCAGCCTACTATGCAAGGCCCGATTTGCCTAATGAGCCAAGTTTTCACGAATTAATGTTTTTTCGACTACCTAACCTACCTAACCTAACCTAACGTAACTTTTTCGGGTACCTAACCTAACCTAAGCCTATGATAGGCTTATAAGCTGGACATGAGTTCTCTCACATTGACAGTGGCTTGACGAAAAACGCAGACTAACCTCACACTCATCTGGTGCCCTCGGGAAGTGGAGATATTTGAGATGTATATATATCTCGAAGTCTCTACTTCTTTTGTAGGGTCTGATGGTGTAGTGGGTTAAAGCGTACTAGTTATGGTAGCTACTGGAAGGTAGTTGTGCTTTCTGGGTTCGAGTCCCACTGGTGGGTGTTGTCCAAAGATTATATATATATATATATATATATATATATATATATATATATATATATATATATTGTAGGAAAATTTGATGATTATTAACAGAGACATTGTAGCATAATTTGAATAGTTTTAGCATAATAAGAATTTCATTCATACAATATACATTAGAACATATTACAGGGGTTTATTTGTAGGTACATTGTAAGGCCCTCGCCCGTCTGCTATATATATATATATATATATATATATATATATATATATATATATATATATATATATATATATATATATATATATATATATATATATATATATATATATATATATATATATATATATATATATATATATATATATATATATATATTTATATATATATATATATATTTATATATATATATCGTCTGTTGCGCAAAATGGTGCCGGTATTCAGACAGATTATCATGTGAACTTAGATTATCGTTAGCTTAGGTGAGGCTAGGTTAGGTTAAGCTAGGAAAGATTACGTTAGGCTTGGCTACGGTAGGTTAGGCTTGATTAAATTTCGTTAGGTTAGGCTAGGATATGTTATGTTAACTTAGGTTTGGTTAGTTTAGGTTGGCTTTGGTTGGATTGGTTAAAGAGTAGCAATGACGTAGCGGATTACATACTTTTCTTAGGTCTTAGAAATACCCCTTTCAACGTCATGTGTGTGTCTCTGCCTCTGAGCTCTGTTTTAGAGCCGTCACCAGCCATTCTCGCCTAATTCGAAGAGAGGCTGGTTTAGACCTCAATGGCTGAACCCCTACTATCCCGGATTCCTGTCATTCATGGAGGTTAACATCTGTCCATCATGCTAACATCCCCCTTCCCCACCACCACCACCACCACCCCCACCACCACCACCACCACCACCACCACCACCACCACCATCTCTTAATACATCTTAACCAGAGGTGTGTGTCTTCTGGAACCAGATTCCCGACTACATGATAATCCTATCACAGGTTTTCTCCCAAATTAAGCTTATAATGGGCCTCCCTTCCCCCCCCCCTCGTGATGAACTGTGGCCCAGAAGGGGGTTGTAATTGCTGGGTTAACAATATACCTGTGGTTATTATACAAGCCGCTCCCTCGCCGTGCTAACATAATTAACCCCGCGGGTGCGGATTTATGTGGCTTGGTGGTAGAAGCGTTCTCGCCATCCCTTGTTTGGTCGCTTCTCTGCCTTCTGACTTCCCTATGACTGGAGTACCCAGGGGTAGCCTAAGGTCTGACTGGAGTACCCCTATGACTGGAGTACCTCAGGGGTAACCTAAGGAGACGATGACCTAAGGAGTATCTCAGTACCTCACTTATCTCCTCCTCCTCTCTCTCTCTCTCTCCAGACCCTCCACCATAGCTTCTGGTTCTTGTTGAAGTATGCCTCTTAATATTTTTGTGTTTCATTTTGCAAAATGCGTAACGTTGCCTCCTTCAGGGTTCACTGGTACGCTGTGCCAGGAGGCGGTGGTGTTCTGCGACGAGAGCCCCTGCCACAACGGTGCCCTCTGCGTCATGGAGGACCACAACGCCACCTGCTACTGTGTGCCGGACTACCACGGCACTCACTGCCAGGACCAGTACAACGACTGCCTGCCCTACGCCCCCAGGTCAGCCCGGGCCACCTCCACACACACACACACGCACACACACACACACACACACACACACACACACACACACACACACACACACACACACACACACACACACACACACACACACACACACACACACACACACACACACACTGGCGTGGTTGGTTACAAAAGGAGGGGAGATTGGATAAGAAACAAGGGGTTCCATGAGATAATAGTTCGATGCTGCGGACACAAATAGTAAATAAATACACACTCACACAGGGTCCGTATAGAATCCTGTGAACACAAAATTAGTAGTCAACATTACTGACCAAATGAAACACTGGATATGAGAATATTCTCAATAATGTCACAACACTTGTTGCGTTTGCAGCGTTCATATTCTCAGGAGTATGTTATCCCTCAGGTGCATGAACGGTGGGGAGTGCATCGACGGGGTGGACAGCTTCCTGTGCAGCTGCCCAAGCCCCAGCTCGGGGGTCCTGTGCCAGTGCCTTACCACCCCTCGCGGTCAAATCTGCCAGCAGCTGCCTCACTGGTACCAGGACAAGCCTTACCAACCAGTGGGCGTCGTCGAGGATGTATTTCATCACTGGGTTAACGTCAGCCATGTATTCAACGAATCACTAACTGATTATTTCCCTTCTCCAACGTCAACAGACGATACTTATGTTTACCCAACGAGTTCTGTTGATATCTCAGACTATGATGTCTTCCCCACCGAGACAGTTTCCCCCAGTATTGAAGTTGTTTCAACCCTTTCCCCCACACTTCCGCGGGAACTTCCGCCGTCTTCTGTGATAAGTGCCAAAGAATCGCCAGTTTATAGTGAATTAGAGTCCTCCAGTGTGCCTTACTCTTCCAGCGAGCTGTTCGAGTCCATCTTCCCCTCTGCGAGCATCTTCCCTTCTACGATGGAATGGAGCGAATTTTGGTCTATAGAGCCATCGCCAGTGCTTCCAATCGCGCCATCCTCGCCTGTCGAAGACTCTGCGGTATTGTCGTCAGAGTTCGTGACCTCGACGTCTGTGCCAGACATCGTCCCCACACACGTCCTTGAGGACTCCTTCCCCACGCTCTCAGTGGAACTCGTTTCTTTGTCCATTGTGTCCGTGTTCGACGTAAGTACCACGCCTGTTTTCGATTCATTACCCGCCCTAGAGCCTACTCCTGTGCTCTCTATCGCCAGTAGCTTTCTAGAAACCGCGACCTCTGTACTCGTAGAGCCCCCGACCTCTGTCTTCGTAGAGCCCGCGATCTCTGTCCTCACAGAGACTGCAACTTCTGTTTTCGTAGAGCCCGCGACCTCTATCCTCATAGATACCACAGCTTCCTCGCCAACCTATACTTCCGACATAGTCACCGCGACGTTCCTGCCAGATGATGACGGGCTCAGGAACCAAACCTTTACACCAGAGGCTGACTTAGCTAGCACACCTCCCATTCTACTGCCGGGAGACGACGCATCCACTGATACTACCAGATTTACCGAAGACTTTACCACCCTTGCGCCCCCAGCCTCACAACTCCCCGAAAATGAAACTAGCTATCCCACTGGTGAAGAAGATGAGGTTACAGAATCTTATAACGCTACAGGATACATCACCCTTGGCTCGGAGGAGCCCTCGCTCACCACAACGTCCTTCACCACCATACCGTCGGATAATTTTACCGATGTTGGCTTGGGGGTGTCGACGACGGACACCACGCCGGCGGTTAACGCCACAGGCGAACCATTTACCACAATCTACGATACCGTCGTAGTGCCAATCGAGACGGCCACCCCACCGTCGTCCAGGCCTCCCGAGTACGAGGATACTGGAGGCCTGGCATCATCCACAGACTCAGCCTCGTCCACTACACCGCCAGGTTATGAGGACACTGGAGGTACAACACCCACTACAGATTACCGCCCAACAGATGGTGGGACAACTTTCTTCACACCAGACACTGAAAGACATCTTTCATCAACTATTACTGCGACAACGAAAGTTTATGTGAACATAACTACCGTGAGCATGGATGAATATGATGAGAACACCACGTCTCCTGCGCCTACTGATGAGTACAATGCAACCGTTACCGTGCCGCCGGACATAACAACAGTAGACGCCGTAAACGTGACAGTGAACGAGACACTGAGGGTGACAGAGGCTGGCCTGGCCCTGACTCCTGGACCGACACCTGTTTCACCCGTCCCCACATACACTGCCGCTCCCACACCCGCAACACATGTGACTATGCACGACAACATCTCCACATATATGCCACCATTTAATGAGTCACTCTTCATCACAGATGTGTTCTACAACGAGTCCTTCACGTCAGATTTTACTACGATTATTGATTCCACATTTACTACAGACTATACTCCAACTAATGTGTCCTACATCACGGATATGTCTGTATTTGATGATTCCTCTACGACACACCCAACATTGCTTGATGATTCCTTTACAACAGAACTATCAACTTATGACACATCTTTCACCAGTGAGTTTTTGTATCCTAATGAATCTTTCACCACAGCTAATACCTCCACAGTCACCCCACACTTCACGACAATATTCAGTTATGTCACAGAGAAGACGACAGTCAGTGACACCTATACAGCCGACCAAACGACTCCGGACGATTACTACATTAAAATAAACGACACGTCTACAGCTGTAATGACGACGACTGAGAGCACGGTGGAGACGTCCAGTGTGTCCCTCCCGACCGAGGCGCCGCTGACGGACACTGCAGAGCCACTGACTGAAGGCCTCCCTGTCACTGAAGGAGGACCACAGACCTTAACAGTGACAAAGGTACAGACCGAGGCAGGAGTCACTACTGATGGTGAAGTTGATGAACCCTCCATTACACGCGCCTCTTCCACCACGCTGACAACTGGCTTAGTTGATGTATTCACCGTAGTCACTCAACCTCCACAAGATCTCGAGAATGTAACTATACCCGACTCCGAATTCCTGTATAATGCTTCCGTGAACGGGTTTAATATCACCTCAACAGCTATTTCTCCTGTAGCAACTGAGATTCCAGTCTTTCCAAAGCCTGAAGTGCCTTTGCTTCCTGCAACGAGTGAGTCTGCCACAGAGGTACCACCAACTCAGACTCCAGTCGGTACCACTGAGCCATCTGTTACTCCTCTTCCTCTTTTCCCTCTTACTACATCTACATCTGTCACCTTCACCACTGCGGCTCCCAACGTTACATTCCAGGTCCCGACGACACTCACTCCCACCTCCGTCGTGCCCGGCCTCGCCACTACGACGGAACCTGACGAGGACGACCACACCGCCAGCTCCAGCGTCGAGGAACCGGTCTTGGAGACGACATCTCAGAGACCAAGAGAACCTCCTACGACCCTCACAGACACCAGTGTGGTTCCCACGACCACCAGCACCACACGACCAACAGCCCTCACCCCCACAGAGACCCAAAGTGACCAGCCTCCAGCAGTGGCGTGTGGCACAGGCTTCTGCCTCAACGCTGGAATCTGTGTCTTCCGCGACGCTAACTTCTCAGTGAGTATTACCTGGCTTTAGCAGCCGTGGTTCACACACTTGAAGCTGAGACTTTATGACTGTTTACTCTCCTGTATATTTCCTCTGCCAGCTTCATGTTAAACTTATGATTTTTATTATTTTTTATTTAAAAATGTATTAACGAAATTCATTGGTATTTAAATTCAAAGATTCTTATGGAGAATTGTGTCGAAGAGATTTGAGCTACTTAGTGCAGCCACGTGTATAATATATATATGATGAAAGACCAGAAATGAAAGATCTAAGAGCAAATTACAATAATAAAATAGGGCAGGGAAGGATGGAGAGATTGTATATATATATCTAGGCTGCCTCGTAACCCTTGACACTAAAAGAGAACCCCTTAACACGGTCCTGTGCCCTCCACAGTGTCAGTGTCCCTTCAACTACCGCGGCGCCTCCTGCGAGGTCTACTTCTACATCAACAAACCTTATTTCGTCGGTGCCTCCTACCTGGGCGTTTATGTCGGCAACATGTCGCTCCGTCGGGGCGTCCAGGTGAGTGTGTTGGTGTTGGGGGAAGTTCTCTTACGGCCTCTAACCCTATTTAAGCCCTGTAAGCATATGCATATTGAGCCTTCACTCTAGTCATATTTGACCGGAGGTCTCCAGTATCATTAAAAGCCTATTGCCTACGCCTGAAGTCTTAACATCTCCCTCTTCTCATCGCAGGTGTATGTGCAGTTCACCTCGCAGGACCCCAATGGCCTGGTGGCGTACAGCGAGGGCTCCAGCGACGCCTTCTTCATGCTGCTCCTCCGAAACTCCCTCTTGCAGTTCGTCTTCTCCTGCGGCCTCCAAACAGTGTCATTCCTGCAGGGCAACGATAAGCTCTCCAGGAACTACCTGACTGATGTCTCCGTCAGGTAGGTCTTCACTGGGACGCCAGAGACGAGAAATGAGTGAAACTAGTGAATTTCTGTGTATATGATGCTATGTATGTGCGTGTGATAGTGTGTATATGTATATGATGCTGTATTCGCATGTTATACTGTGTGTAAATATCCACTAGGAAACTGAAACGAAAGTTCCAAATGTTATACTGTGTATAATGCTCTATATGCATAATATACTGTGTATAATACTATATGCATGCTATACATATAGCATGGTTGGTCTACTTCTGGAGGCCTGGTCGAGGACAGGGCCGCGGGGACGCTAAGCCCCGAAATCATCTCAAGAAAACTTCAAGCTATACTGTTTATAATACTCTATATGCATGGTATACTGTGTATATTACTGTATATGTGTACATTATACTGTACATGCCTGAGAATATAAGCTTTCACTGGGTTATGCATTAATTATTACATAGCTTAACCCTCAAAAAGTCGTACTTTTCCAATTAAATGTCCAGCATGGACCTTACGAGTATTGTATCTATGTCTTCCAGAACACATGAAGCTCTAACAACCAGGATCTTACATATGGGTCTCTGATTGTCGGTATTTTAGTTGAGAGAATAATCACTCTGTCAGTAGTGGTCCCATTAATGAAGTTTTTATGCCCCAAAAAATTTCTTGTCTCACATTTTCACCTTATCTCTCTCTCGATCTTAATTCCTTTCTATCCTTCTCTCCTTCCTTACGTCTGCTTATCCATCCACATCTGTCTGTGTCAGCGGGAATGTTGGCCAGAGACGGACACTAATGTATGTGACAATGTCAGACCACGGACACTCGTTCTGAGGATGTATTAATATACGAAAGTACTTAAGGAAATTTCTGTTTCAATTTTCCTCCGTGTTCTGACACTGTCACATTTTTAATCACGTGTTTATTTTCGTGATATACACACACTAATGTATGTGTGTGTGTGTGTCGTCAGGATGTGGTGGACCCCCTACAGGCACGACGCTCCCTGGGGCCCCGGCATGTGCAGCGCCTCCATGCAGGTGAGCTTCATTCTTCTCTCCTCCGTCAGGATGGTCATGAGTCCGGCTCAACCGTCAGGTTGGTAGTGAATGTCTTCAAAGGCGAGCTTCCTACTCCTATCCCTCGTCAGAAAGGTACCGGGTCTGCTCACAAGTAAGCATGGGTCTCCTTCAAGTATGTTTATTGAGATAAGCAAGAAATACATCTCAAAGGGATAGAGTAGCTTAGGCTATTTCTACCCCCCCTGGGTCTCCTCACTCCGCCAAGACAAGAGCCGCGCATTATCCTTCTAAGTACCGGTTTACATTAAAGACACAGTAACTTCAGCCTGACCTCTCATATTTTCCTGTAATCATTTAAGAAAGTACGTCTCGTTTTTGCTTACATGTTCAAGTTCCGTATTTACTCAGACTACCTGGTATGTGTGTAAGAAATATTTATCAAAAGACGGCACCACACCAAATATGTGTGCGTATATATATATAGATGTATATGGAGTCAGGTGGTCAACTGAGGTGGATGGCGTGGTGTGTGCTCCCTCAGGTGAACGGGACGGCGCCAATATACAGCGAGCAGAGGTCGTCGAGCCCCTGGGTGCGCCTGGGGCTGCTGTACCTGGGCGGGCTGCCCTCCTCCTACTCCTCCCCGCTGGTGGTCAAGGCCGGCTTCCTCCCGAGGCTCAAGGGTTGTGTCTCCTTACTCGAGGTCAGACCCCACCACCACCTCGCTCCTCACTCACATCTTCACTCTTTAATAGAATAGTCACGCAATCTTATTTATGATATAGTTAGTCTTCGTACTTTTATAATAGACAAATACAATTATTTATTCCCGTTGAATCGTGCGGCGTGAATTGCATTGCATTTGGTTAAGCAAAATGAAATGCACATACTAATTATGCCTTGCAAGACATCAAAATTGATAAATTGTTTTTGGCACGATTTCAGTAGGTAATACATATGAAGTAATTTATGTGAGGTCATCCCTCCTTTGTACATCAACTTTGCCATCTTCCCAGACGTAATCTCTTCTCTTCTCTTCTCATATCAGGCTAAACTAGTCCCTATAGACATGCATGATGCCTCATTTCTTCTCTGGCACCTCCTTCCCCTCCCCCCAGCAGGTAAATTGTGCTCCCTCCTGCAGGTGAACGGGCGGGAGGTAGACACGTGGGTGTCGAGCGTGTCCGGGGAGCGTGTGGAGGAGTGCGGGTCGGCGCCGTGTCCCTCGGGCTCCTGCTACAACGGCGGCTCTTGCGTCCCGGGTCCCGCCCTCTGGTCCTGCCGCTGCCCGCCAGGGTCAGTCCCACACTTACAACTCGGGGTAACGACGTTTCGGTCCGTCCTGGACCATTCTCAAGTCGATGAGAATGAAACGTCGTCGTCCCTTCACTTTCTAGTTTGTGGTCTGGTCAATATATTTCAGCCACGTTATTTTGACTCATCGTCTGCAACTCTGGGTATTTTACGCCATAAATCACAGGGGCAGCCACGAGTACAGGAACCAAGGCTATTACTTTTGCATCATCAAAGTATCCATATCATTTTACACAGGAACTTCGTAAAACTCGAGTATAAACATCTGTATCCATAAAAATAGAATCCCTTTCCGTATTGTCTGTCCAAAGTAACAGGCCAGACGCTTGGGATGACTCATTTCATAGGTCAGTCAAGGTCGGCCCCAGTGCCACTTTTTAAGAAATATCGACAATCTATAGTGACCCTCTTTCAATTATAATGAAGTCTGAAATCGGATATGTGTTTTTTTTGCAGAGTTTTGGCAGTTTTCAGTGCCTTGTAATAACTATTCTGAGAGAGGGAGGGAATTATCAGGAGAAAGCGCCAAGCCATTACGACTATATAGCACTTGGAAGCGGTCAGGATAAGGATTTGGGATGGGATGGGGGGGACAAGGAATGGTGCCCAACCACTTGGACAGTCGGGTATTGAACGCCGACCTGCATGAAGCGAAAGTCGAGACCATCTCTTCCGTCCAGCCCAAGTGGTTGATGATGAGTTATGACAAGAGGTGGATAGATGATGAAGGTAGATAGATGAGTTAATGAAAGCACAAGTTACTACGATGCGCTCTGCATGCTGCCTGAAACACCTTGCTACAGACTTTCAATGATTTATCAAACATTGTGACACTTGTATATCTCTCAACAATCAAGGTTATTACAATCAAACTCGCAGTGAGTGATTCGGAGCGCATTATTCGATAACTGTTAGCAGAACCGCCATATTAAGGAGAGATGAATATGTTGGTAACTGGAATGAGTACTCGCTTGATGAATCCCGTTGAGGAGCATGTTACAGCCCCGTGATGAGCACAGACGCCAGGTTAGAGGAAGGGCACTGGTGCCTGCCCGCCTGCAAGCAGCAGTAGGATCTAAAACCTGTACCGGAATCAACAATATGATGTCATAGTGACGTCACATACCTCCTGCACACCAAGTATATTAAATTCAAAATGTTATCTCTTATTTTCGTTGGATTACGATGTTAGTTTCGGCTGTTAGGCTAAATTATGTTAGGTTAAGTTGGAGTAAATTTGGTTAAGTTGGTCTGTTTATACTATTAACAAATTTTATAGAGCAGCGATGACGTAGGAGTACAAAGTTTTCTCAGGTCTTAGACCCTTCTCCCTCTAAGAGCGGGAAGCCAGGCGCCTCTCACCGTTGTCAACAGCTCGCGACACTCTGTGAACGTTGACAGTATTTTTAGCCGTCAGGTTTTCCGTCCGGGATTCCACACATAAAATTTGCATATGAAGATCATTATATTTCTTTGTTTTTTGATGTGCTTGAAATGTTATAGCACAAACACCGGGAGAGAAGTTCTCAGGCTCTGGTATAAGCGGTTGGATTATTCCGCTCAACCTCCTCGACTTAGGGATTATGTAATAAAACATGATAAACCTCTAATAATATAACGTAGTGCCATCTGAAATTATGTTGTAAATTGCTTGGTGATTTACAAGACGGTCCGCCTTCCATCGCCCTGACGCCTTTTGTAAATATATGGCAACCACAGGCGAGTGTCACTTGACCTGATTCTTACTCTTAAAAATAAAGTCGCTTTTGGCCGTTTACCAGTATGGCCGAATGTGGACGTAATATGAAAATGAAAACAAATTGAAAATAAATTTTGGATTTTTTTTTTCAACAACAGTAACTTAAGGATCCTCTGATAGGTTAGGTGGGCAAGAAATTCTCATAAAATTTCAAAACGTTATGAAAAACGTTAATTGAAAGTTTTCTCTCCTAACCTTTCCGCGTAGGCCGGAGGACTCAAACAGAAAACGGGACAGTACATCACTTTTGTGAACCGATTTCATTTCAAATTACGTCCACTTTTGGCCATAGCGCGCATGCGAGCCAAAAGCGACGTTATTTTTAAGAGGACGGGTTGCACTTGGAACGCGAGAATATATCGGACAGTAGATGGGTAACTCTCTCAGGTTGGTTAGGTGTAAAGCAAGCATTCTACTCAGTGTGTCACAAGATTAGCAACGTCTGGATGGTTATGCTGAGAGGAGAGGGTTTAATTGGTTTCGTCCGGGACAGGAAGCATGTGTCAGAGAACACAAGGTTATACCAGCCACCATGGGGCACAACACAAGGGTATAACAGCCACCATGGGGCAGAACACAAGGGAATACCAGCCACTATGGGACAGAACACAAGGGAATACCAGCCACCATGGGACAGAACACAAGGGAATACCAGCCATCATGGGGCAGAACACAAGGGAATACCAGCCACCATGGGGAGGTTATCTTGAGATGATTTCGAGGCTTTTTAGTGTCCCCGCGGCCCGGTCGACGACCAGGCCTCCACCCCCAGGAAGCAGCCCGTGACAGCTGACTAACACCCAGGTACCTATTTACTGCTAGGTAACAGGGGCATAGGGTGAAAGAAATTCTGCCCATTGTTTCTCGCCGGAGCCTGGGATCGAACCCAGGACCACATGGATCAAAGGTCCAGCGTGCTGTCCGCTCGGCCGACCGGCTCCTCTCGAACACAAGGGGGGAGAACACAATGGTATACCAGCCACAATGGGGGGAGAACACAAGGGTATACCAGCCACCATGGTGGAGAACACAAGGGTATACCAGCCACCATGGTGGAGAACACAAGGGTATACCAGCCACCACAGTGGGAACACAAGGGTATACCAGCTACCATGGGGATAACACAAGGCTATACCAGCCACCATAATGGGAACACATGGGCATACCAGCAACCATGGGGGAGAACACAAGGGTATACAAGCCACCATGGTGGGAACACAAGGGTATACCAGCCACCATTATGTGAACACAAGGGTATACCAGCCACCATGGAGGAGAACACAAGGGTATACCAGCCACTATAGGGAGAACACAAGGGTATACCAGCCACCATAGTGGGAACACAAGGGTATACCAGCCACCATTATGGGAACACAAGGGTATACCAGCCACCATTATGGGAACACAAGGGTATACCAGCCACCATTATGGGAACACAAGGGTATACCAGCCACCATGGAGGAGAACACAAGGGTATACAAGCCACCATGGTGGGAACTAAAGGGTATACCAGCCACCATGGGGCAGAAAACAAGGGTATACCAGCCACTATAGGGAGAACACAAGGGTATACCAGCCACCATAGTGGGAACACAAGGGTATACCAGCCACCATGGGGGAAAACACAAGGCTATACCAGCCACCATTATGGGAACACAAGGGTATACCAGCCACCACGGGGGAGAACACAAGGGTATACCAGCCACCATGGTGGGAACTAAAGAGTATACCAGCTACCATGGGGCAGAACACAAGGGTATACCAGCCACCATAGGGAGAACACAAGGGTATACCAGCCACCATAGTGGGAACACAAGGGTATACCAGCCACCATGGGGGAGAACACAAGGGTATACCAGCCACCATAGGGGAGAACACAAGTGTATACCAGCCACCATGGGGTAGAACACACGGGTATACCTGCCACCATCGGGGAAAACACAAGGGTATACCAGCCACCATGGGGGAGAACACAAGGGTATACCAGCCACCATCGGGGAGAACACAAGGGTATACCAGCCACCATGGTGGAGAACACAAGGGTATACCAGCCACCATGGTGGAGAACACAAGGGTATACCAGCCACCATAGTGGGAACACAAGGGTATACCAGCTACCATGGGGGATAACACAAGGCTATACCAGCCACCATAATGGGAACACATGGGTATACCAGCAACCATGGGGGAGAACACAAGGGTTTGCCAGCCACCATAGTGGGAACACAAGGGTATACCAGCCACCATTATGGGAACACAAAGGTATACCAGCCACCATGGAGGAGAACACAAGGGTATACAAGCCACCATGGTGGGAACTAAAGGGTATACCAGCCACCATGGGGCAGAACACAAGGGTATACCAGCCACCATAAGGAGAACACAAGGGTATACCAGCAACCATAGTGGGAACACAAGGGTATACCAGCCACAATGGGGGAGAACACAAGGCTATACCAGCCACCATTATGGGAACACAAGGGTATACCAGCCACCACGGGGGAGAACACAAGGGTATACCAGCCACCATGGTGGGACCTAAAGTGTATACCAGCCACCATGGGGCAGAACACAAGGGTATACCAGCCACCATAGGGAGAACACAAGGGTATACCAGCCACCATAGTGGGAACACAAGGGTATACCAGCCCCCATGAGGGAGAACACAAGGGTATACCAGCCACCATAGGGGACAACACAAGTGTATACTAGCCACCATGGGGGAGAACACAAGGGTATACCTGCCACCATCGGGGAAAACACAAGGGTATACCAGCCACCATGGGGGAGAACACAAGGGTATACCAGCCACCATCGGGGAGAAAACAAGGGTATACCAGCCACCATGGTGGAGAACACAAGGGTATTCCAGCCACCATAGTGGGAACACAAAGGTATACCAGCCACCATGGGGGATAACACAAGGCTATACCAGCCATGAAAATGGGAACACAAGGGTATACCAGCCACCATGAGAGAGAACACAAGGTTATACCAGCCACCATGGTGGAGAACACAAGGGTATACCAGCCACCATGGTGGGAACACAAGGGTATACAAGCCACCATGGGGGAGAACACAAGGGTATACCAGCCACCATAATGGGAACACAATGGTATACCAGCCACCATAGGGGAGAACACAAGGGTATACCAGCCACCATAGTGGGAACACAAAGGTATACCAGCCACCATGGTGGAGAACACAAGGGTATACCAGCCACCATAGTGGGAACACAAGGGTATACCAGCCACCATGGGGGAGAACACAAGGGTATACCAGCCACTATGGGGGAGAACACAAGGGTATACCAGCCACCATGGGGAGACCACAAGGGTATTCCAGCCACTATGGGGGAGAACACAAGGGTATACCAGCCATCATGGGGGAGAACACAATGGTATACCAGCCACCATGGTGGGAACTCAAGGGTATACCAGCCACTATGGGGGAGACCACAACGGTATACCAGCCACCATCGTGGGAACACAAGGGTATACCAGCCACTATGGGGGAGAACACAAGGGTATACCAGCCACTATGGGGGAGAACACAAGGGTATACCAGCCACTATGGGGGAGAACACAAGGGTATACCAGCCACCATGGGGGAGAAAATTAGGGTATTCCAGCCACCATGGTGGGAACACAAGAGTATACCAGGCACCATGGGTCGGAACACAAGGGTATACCAGGCACCATGGGGGAGAACACAAGGGTATTCCA